GCCGAATCATACTGTGGATCTGGCCATCCTCCCTCAATGTCATAATTCCGCCGCAGGTAAATTAGCTGAGAATTTTAAATTCATGCTTGATGATGTTCGCCGCAAATTACAACGGTCCAATGAAGCTTACAAGTTTAATGCTGATCAACACCGGCGCTGAAAGCTATTTGAACTTGGAGAACTTGTAATGGTACGTTTGTGGAGGTAAAGATTTCCTGCGGGAACTTATTCGAAGCTTAGTCCACGAAAGATTGGACCATTTGCTATCAAGCAGCGGATTAACGACAATGCATATGTCATTGATCTACCACCCGACATTCTCACACCCTCTACCTTCAACGTCGAGGATGTCTTCCCCTATTTTCCATCGGATGAAGCTACTACTTAACTAACTGACACTCCACAGGAAGCGGAGTTCTTTAGAGGAGGGAACTGATGTGGGCTCATGTTAGCTGAAGCCTTTTTCGCAAGATCATTATACTACCCACATGGTTTAGGTTATACTCCCACTATCTTATTTATGCAATAGTTTTAACTAACTAAAGGCTATAGTACAGTCGTTTCTCCTTTTTCTTGTTTTTCCGTTTTTAGTCATACAACACTTTTAGGAGGTATATTTTGTTATTAGCTGGGGGAAGAAGATGGATTGAATACTACTACCAATATTACTCTCGTTTGGAGCTCTGCTCCTTGGCTTATCTAGTTTTCCTCTTGTGTTCTGCTCTTTTCTCTTGCAGGTCCCGAGGTTTCCACGCCATCATCTTGATTGTTGATGGAGAAGCTATGCCCAGTATGATAGAAATATTTTTTTGTATGTCAATTACAATCTGCAACTAATTAAAGAAGTTAATAATACTATTGAAGAAAAGTCCAATAGCTTCACTACTCTCTATCAGAAGCTGTGTGCTTGCACGGAAAATTCATAAAGGAAATTTCTTACAATAATTCTGTTTTAAAATTTCAATAAATTTTAATCAGTTTTTGATATTGAAATCTTGATATATATATTTGTTAATCAAATACAAAGTAACAGCATCATGTTGTGTTTTCAAGTTAATTAAATCAAACACCGTTAAAAGCGAGGATAAGAGTTCCGTTAAAGAAAAAAAAATCACACAAGACAAAGTATATAATTATGTTGAGATCCAACCGTCTTCCCCACGTTCTGTCTACATTCCCACGTCGGCAATCTATTGCAGTTGAAACTGCTAAATTCAATTCACATAAAATAGTGAAGAAATGCGGAAAGAAGTGATGCGATAAAAGACAGACAGAAATTGAGACTTCTGCTCTCAGGCTTTCTCGGATTTCCTCAAACAAAATCAACTCAAGCCCTTCTTGCGTGAACGAGCCCTCTTCCTCTCCTCTCCAGAATCCTGATCCGGCTGCCGGAGTTAACCCCGGCCTCCTTCAGTCTTGCGTGGCCAGATCACTGAAGGCCTCATCTCCGTCGACCCTCGCCTCCTTCAAGATTGGTTGCGAATCCCACGTCCAAGCAAATTCCTGATTTGCTGTTTCTTGAAACAGTAAAGAGTAGGTGGCTTTTATAATTATAATTAAGTAATAATAATTGATACCGATTATTATTATTTAATTCTTTTCCTTATTATTATTACTGTTAAAAATAATAATAATAATAAGTAACAAATATATATATACATAAAACATCGCAATTGTCAATTGAAGATTTGAAGGAAGTCCCGGGGTTGATCCGGTCCCCTGAAGCTCTCGGTCGTCGAGATTATCCGACCGAGGGAGCGCAGACTCTACTCTTCCAATCTCCTCGCCGTTGATTCGCTCCGGCCGAGTCGAGCCAAAGGGCAAATGCCTTCTTTACCTCCCGGAATCGGGGAGGGGACGCCGGAAGGCTGCCGGATTTTCGAGAGGACTAAAAGTATTTTTTCTTTAAATTAAATTAAATTGCTTAAATTAACAAGTCGCGCACATTAGAAGACTTGAAGACTCTTTTTTATGGGATTGATTTGCTCTCCCAATCTCCTCGCCGTTGATTCGCTCCGGCAGATCAGCACTCCCTTACCTCCCGACATCGAGGAGGGGACGCCGGGAGGCTGCCGAAATTCACTCAAAAATTCTGGACTTGCGCGCATTTTTTTTGGAAAATTTGGATTGCTCAATTAATTAACCGATACATTAATTGATTGATTAAAAAAAATCGAAGTCAAACTATAATTCAATTAATGAATAACCAATTATTGTCTTTCATTAAGGCTCTCAAAGTTGGAAAACACCTCCTTCAAAGAGTTGCTGTTATAAAATCCACAATAAAGTGAATAGTATGAAATATAGCATCATATACAAGCATTAATTCAAAACAAATGCAAGCACGGGATTAAGTTTAAAACTTAATCCTAATCAAGCTAATTAATCTAAGAGCTTAATTAAAACTTAAAACTTAAATCAGAAAACCTAAATTAACCAAATTTTAATGAAAATTATAACAGCAAACTTAAATCAGTGGAACTTAAAGATTAAGTTTAAAACTTAATTTAAACAACCCATTAAAATTGAAATGCTAATTAATTAAATTTAAATCTCAAACTTAATTAAGGTTAAGCCATTTGACATTAAACCTGAATAAATTAAATTTTAAATTAAAATTCAACTTTCAATTAACTTATATAAATGATTGATAATCAAATCAAATTTAATATAATTAACTTTTAAAATACATTGGAAATTGAAATTAAAAGTTAATTAAATTCATCTAATTAATTTACCAAATTAAGAATATAATTTTAAAAAAAAGCATGAAATAAAATTTTTTTTCTTACTAATCCAGTTCATGTAAAAACAAACAAAAAACTGGTAACTATCCAAAGAGTTACAGATTCTCAAACTAAGCAGCACAAACAAACAACTCTCTCAAGTAAATAAATTCAAACTCCCTCAGTCCCTCAGTTGTAGTCTAAACTGTATCTACCTATGGGGCTCCCTAAACTGCTCACTACGAGTACCTGCAAATGAGAAGACAAATGTCAGCATATCATAAACAAAATTAGTACTAAAAAAAGAGAGAGAGTAAATCTAAGTACTATAAGTAGAGCCACAAACTGCTATAGTAGAAGTAAGATACTAGCACAAAACAAGACATTAACACTGACATTGAGGGTGTAAAGTGTCTAAAGCTATCCCCTAGCTAAATTGAATCCTAAAGGTTTCTTCTACTAGAAGTAGTAAATCCTATCGGCAATTCTTTCACTAAATATATATTTATTAAGTGAAGCAATAAATTCCAAAAAAAATTCCCTTGGCTACTTTCATTGAAAGTCGTAAGTCCAGTCTTTATGGGTAATAGTTATAAAGCAATCTAACTCTATACCACTTAATTGGGCATCTTAGCCTATAGGACTAAGTTGTAAAACTTGCCATACGGGCTATTTCCAAGTGAAGTAGTAAAATCCGTACGTTATGGAACTTCTAAACGAATGATCCTATAACAAAAAAAAAAAAAAAAATCCTTATGGTCATCTTAGTCTATAGGACTAAGTTGTAAGACCGCCATACGGGCTACCTTCTAAGTGAAGCAGTAAGACCCATGAGTTAGGAAAGTTCTAAAACGAACGACTCTATAACCAAAACCTAAATCCTTTTTGGATCTTAGCCTATAGGGCTAAGTTGTAAAACTAAGCAGCACAATCTGGTTAAATATTAAACTCAATCTACCTCCGGAAAAATTAAAGAGGACCCATAAGTTCGTGAGAGCGGAGTTCGCATCACTTTTAAATATTAATATGATTTTTCTGGAGCGAACAATATATATTAAAAAAATAAATCTTTTTGTCTCACAACATGTATTTTAATATTTTTAATATATAAATATAAGATAAAAAATTATTATTATATTATGTGTATGTATATACATTAAAAATATAGTGCATACAAAATTTCAAAAAAAAAAAAAAGTACATAAAAATTGGCCATTAAGGTTCATAACAATATGAACATCAAACATCATCCCTCATGATGGAAATAATATTTGTTCATATGATATATTAATACATCACTGTCCTAAATTTTGTAATACTTTAAGGCTTCGTTTGGGACGGCTTTTTTACTGCTTCTTAATGTGGTTTTTCAGTAAAAAAATTAAAATTTTTTAACTAGAAAGCCGTTTTAAGAAGCAGTAAGAAAGTCGTCCCAAATGAAGCCTAAATTAAAATTTTATAGTTATTTGAGTTGAGAACACTTATGTAATGACCCAAGACAGGGCTAGTCTTTCCTATTCAGGCTCGAAACCCGTTTGGTTGAAGTTTGGTGTTAGATTGATGCAATAAATTAAATTTGAGCTAATTCTAAGTCATTAATTTGCTATCCTCGCACATGTTATTAGGTGGCAATTAAATTATTTTAAAGATATCAAAATAGAGTATACTATATAATTATTTAAAAAATATTATTAGTAGAGCTTAATTAGTCCCGAAGAAAGATGACTCAAACTATGCTAATGTCTTTTAATCCTCTATCTAAATATGTGAATTAGTAATAAGTTAAAAGAGCAATTATGTACAAAACAGTCAAATTTTAGCTATTTAATGCCTTCATTTTTTTTAAATCTTCATTCAAATATTAAAATTCATTATAAAATCTTAACCTTTATTTCTTAGTTTTATCAAATTCTCAATTATTTTACATTGGCCTTTGCAAATATATATTTGGATATTTAAAAAATGAAATAAAGGTTAATTTTATAGACAAGTAATTTTTAGATGTTTTATATAGATTTCAGTGTTATGCATGCATATTATTATATATATCTAAATAATAAGAAATATTAATCATTCAAAATTAAGAAAAAAAAAGGAAACAAAGATATTAATTGGAAAAGAATTATCTGCTCAAATTAGTTGGCGGGCAATTACTTTAAATGCAACAACAACAACAAAAAAAACGTGCTTAGAAAGATGATGAAGCAGATCTGGCTTCTCTTTAATTTCTCAACTCTATAAATACAACACAAGATGATGAAGCAGATCACCAATCCCACAGTATTCTCTTCAGTCTTCACATACATAGCTTCATAAGCTTCCTTATTAGCTTAATCTGAGCAGTAAGTAGCTTCGCATCAATGGCGAGCCGGATCGAAAAAAACTTTCTTCGCACGCACGGTCGTCAGATTACAATTTTGAGCATCGACGGAGGAGGCGTCAGAGGAATAATTCCAGCAAAAATTCTTATCTTTCTTGAATCTGAGCTTCAAGTAGGACGTTAAATATATCTATATATATCGGTTAATTAATTAGCTGCTTGCTTGATTATGAGTTAAAATCAATAAGTGTTTTCTTTAATGACGTTGCAGAGGGTTGATGGAAAAGAAGCAAGGCTCGCAGACTACTTTGACGTGATTGCTGGAACAAGCACTGGTGGTCTAATGACTGCAATGCTAACTGCTCCTAATGGCTGCAATCGCCCCAAATTTTCAGCCCAAGAAATCTTAGATTTCTACATGCATAAATCATCTAGCATCTTTCAACAAAGACCATGGTCAGCTTAATCGATTTCATAAGTAACTTATTTAGTAGACAGCTTTCTAGCAGCTTCTTCAAACGAATTTTTAATATAAAAATTAAAATTTTTGTGCTAAAAAGTCGTTTTAAGTAGCAGTAAGAAAGCCGTCCCAAGCAAAGCTTAGGACTTCTTCGTTTGGGACGATTGTTTCTTAAAGCAGTTTTCTAGAACAAAAATTTTAGTTATTAAACTAGACAGCTGTTTTAAGAAGCAGAAAAAAAAATCATCCCAAATGAAGCTTAAATCTGTTCATTAGATTAGGACTTTAGTTACAATAGTACGTAGGGAATTATGATAATAAGCTCTCAATGCTGTTTTAAATTGCTGCAGCCCGTATTTATTTGGCTCAAATTGTGGCTGTTTCGGTAACCTTTGTGGGCCAAAGTACGATGGAAAGGTCCTCCACGAAGAGATTGAAGATAATCTTGAAGGCATAAAACTGCATCAAACTCTAACCAATGTTGTAATCCCAGCTTTTGATATTAAGCTCCTTCAGCCCACTATCTTTTCCTCATTTGAGGTATTTATAATCAACTTACTTAATTGATCAATCTCTAGTTAAGCTATAATTATAACCATTTCGAATCTTACAGGCAAAATCTACTCCATCAAAGGATGCTTATTTATCAGACATCTGCATTGGCACCTCAGCTGCACCTGTTTACCTACCTGCTCACTTCTTTAATACCGTAGACTCCAATTTCCTTCCTCGAGAGTTCAATCTCATCGACGGAGGAGTTGCAGCAAATAACCCAGTATGTCAAAATATTTTTCTTATCAATTAAGCTTCGTTTGGGATAGCTTTTTTACTGCTTTTTATGAAGCTGATGTACGTTGTATATATATGAATTTGTACGTACAGACTTTGCTTGCCATGAACATGGTGAGCAAGAACATTTTCCAGCAAAGCGAAAATTACTTCAAGACAAAACCAGCGGAATACAAGAATTTTCGTGTACTTTCACTTGGCACTGGATCGGCTAAGAAACAGAAATACCATAGCGCAAAAGAAGTAGCGAAGTGGGGAATGCTTCGATGGCTTTGCAATTGCTTTGTTGACCTGCCCATCATCAACGTATATTCAGAAGCCAGTACAGACATGGTTGATATCATGCTTTCTGTTCTCTTCAAATCTCTGAAAATAGAGGACAACTATCTTCGCATTCAGGTACATCTTGGATCAATAATTTACTTTTCTGAATACTATAGGCTACATATTGGGATTTGGGATCGTAAAATAGAACCTTTAATACATAAATATGCGCAGGAATGAGGAATCTCTTGAGAAACCGGATTACAAAATTTCAGTTTCTATTGAATTATAATATAAAAGATAAATTATAAAATTCTGGTTACAAAATTCAGGATTAAAATATAAAAGATAAATTATTATTTTTTATTTATTTTTCTTTTTAAATATAACAATTTTTTAAAATTTAAATTAATAAAAAAATTTAATAATTTAAATTGATTTCTAAATTGAACTCATAAAATTTTGCAAATTTATGATTTATATTTTAAATTTATAACTAAAATTCATATACAAGAAAACTGGAAGACCAGCATAACAACACAATTGAAACGAAAGATGCTGAAAACTCTTTTTTTTTTTTTTAACAAATGGAAATTAATTTGCTTAAAATTGTTGTTAAATAGGATGACACATTGACGGGAGACGCTGCATCTATGGACATCGCAACAAAAGAGAACCTGAAAAAATTGGAGAAGATTGGAGATGAATTGATTAAGAAGCCTTTATCGAGGGTGAATATAGATACTGGGGAATATGAGCCTGTCTCATGTGGAGGAACTAATGAACAAGCACTGATTAAATTTGCCAAGGATCTTCGTGAAGAAAGGAATCTGAGAATTCAGGGTGCAAAAAAGGCAGCAAAACTTCTTTAATTAGGCCATTTTATATAGATATGTTTAGGGTCTTCTTTGTATCCACAACTATAAATAATGTCACTTGCCAAGCTGGCCAGATGGAGAGATTATTATGTTCGATGTCTGGACTATTCGGAGGCGAATTCGGACACGTCATGTCACTGAGCCAGGGTGATGAAGTGGCGTGTCCGAATTCGCCTTCGAATGAATCCGAATGCCGCATGTAATAATTTTCCTTCCATGTGACACAACTTGTCCTCACTTCCTACTTATTTTCTTACAATAAGATATCATAAGCTTACCATAATTTCTATTCTCCTTTCTCTCCGTCTCTATGTTTTTCCATTTCTCTATCAATTTTTCCACTAAGGTCCATATATTGCGCAAAAATCAGTATAAATTCAACAGAATTAATATATATATATATATAATTAAGATATTTAATTAGCAAGACTAAATTGGAAAAAATCATTTGGAATTGTTTATTTTCGATTCAACCTGAATTTAGATCGAGTTGAAACCAATTTCTTATTAAAGAACAAAAAGTATCAGAATATATATTATGATATATGCAGTTAATTTTAGAATGATAAGACAAAAAGTTCAGATTTACAAGACAAACATTTTTCATTAGATTTGAAAACTCAAAGATTTTGAATATTTTTGGAAAACTCATAGAGTAAATGAAAAAAATTTGAACACCACGCAATTTATTTATTTATGTACAGTAACTAATTTTTTGTTCAATAGATTACCTATCTATGGCTGGATATTAAGTTAATTAGATGATAACTCATATTAGGGGTGCAACCGAGTCGAGCTCGACTCGGTAATAGGCTCGACGAGTCAGCTTATCGAGCTCGAGAGTCGAGCTCAAACACGATTTCGAGCTCGACTCTTTATTGAGCTCGAACTTCGCTCTTGTCGAGCAGCTCACGAATGAAATGGCAAGCGGGAAATCGCAAGCGAGCGGGTAAAGGAAACGGGCAGCGGGAAACTTTCTTCCATCGGCGCGCTTCTTCACCCCTTCGACGACATTCCATCCCTGTCGGATAGGAAGTTAGAGCGGGAAAAGGAAATGGGCAGCGGGAAACTTTCTTCCATCGGCACGCTTCTTCACCCCTTCGACGACATTCCATCCATGTCGGATAGGAAGCTACGACATTTTGGGCGGAACCGCGGAAGCAACGAAAGGAGCTGACTAACTGAGAGGGCAACTTTCTCCTTATCGGGCAATTCTCCAGCTCCTTCGTGACTGTTCGACCATGCCCCTTCGACGACTTTACCTTCCTGTCTGATAGGGAGTTATGACATTCAGATCGGAATTAAGCAATAACGGGAGCTCGTGTGCAATGAAGGTAACTTTCTCCATTATGAGCACTTCTTCGCCACCTTCGACGAATTTCCATTCTTGTGGGATCGGAAGTTAAGGCATTTCGTTTCCGATTGAAAACAATACGGGAGCTCGTGTGGACGGGACGACGCAGGTCGTGAAGGGAGAATGAGCTCGACGAGCTGTTTGTTTCCGATCAATACGGGAGCTCGCTTGTTGTGGACGGGACGATGCAGGTCCCAGTAGCTCTACAAGCCGCTCGATGCGAAACGAGTCGAGCTCGATCTCATTTTTTGAGCTCGGGCTCTGACAGTCGAGCTCGACTCCAACACCCACTGGCTCGAGCTCGACTCGACTCGTTTGCACCCCTAACTCATATATCTATATCTATACTACAATTTCGTTCTGTAATATTTGCGACGGTAGAGAAGTATAAAGTTAGGATTTAACGGAGACAAAAAAATCAATTCGATCGTCTCCGAAAGACATGTCAAATCATCAAGAAGAATTTTCGAAAGCGTACCTGAATCCATTGAAATGCAGAATCAAAGTCTTTCGATCTTCCATGTTTAGAGCGGCGATCTCCAAGAGAGCGAGAGACCCCTTCTTTTTACTCAAGATGAGAAATGAGGGAAATGAGAACTTCACCGCTTAAACTGGGGGACCACTATCCTTTTATACTTTAAGTGTATTTATTTTATTTCAGCCCATCATTAAAATAAAATAAATACCCGGCCTCCACACAAATTAATTTCATACAAAATTAATTGAGATGCCACATAAGCCAAATAATAATTTAATACTTAAATAGATCATGAATTTAAATTGGCTTAATTTTAGATAGCGTTTAATGTAAAATTCTTTATTTATATGTATAGAATATATTGGCCCACATATGAAAATTTTCCAACATATCCAACACACAAACAGATAAAAGATATGATGTAGTATTCATAAGATACACCAATATTTTTACATGAAAAATCTTTAAAAGGGAAAAAATCATGGGGTCTGATCCAATTTGAATGAATCCACTATTATTTGCAATCAATTACAAATGAGGCCCTTCATTGGGGAAGGCCTTGGCTTAAAAGGACTGTAGTCGGCAGACGACAATAGTCAAAAAAATGTTAATCAAGAATTTAAAATTTTATATCAGAATGTGTGGCCTGATGAGTTGTTGTAGGTCAATGTAATTTTGTTTCTAATTTTTAGGATCTTAGAAGGAGAAGTATACTGTTGATTAGTAGTTAAGGATCACATCTAAGTTGATAAATATTTCTCTTTTGATTTTTTGTACAGCCATGACTATTATTCAATTATGTAGCTTTTGTTTGTAGCCAAGTATTGTAGTGTTTATATTTTAATGAAATAAAAGAAATTTTGTCGATAAGTTTATTTTTAGTATGTGGATGTTTAGTAGCCCTATAGTTTGTAGTTTATAAAAATAAATAAATATTTGATTAAAATATGAAACTTTCCATAACTAGATATTGAAGTTTACATGTCATAACTTTAGACGATAGGATCGGTATTGATCGGGTTGGCTTGTGACATCATGTTCCTAAGAACTCTATATTTACGGGGCAACCTTAATTGTAATTCTTTTATTAATTTGTGAGGAACCAGATTCATTTGGCATACTCAAACTTTCGTCAATAATAAGAATTAGGACACCATATCTTCGCCCTGCCAATGCTTCTTCAAAGTAATATTCTAAGAAACAGAATTTTTAATTAGCTTAATGCCTTAATTAATTATTCATTAACTATATGTAATTGCATTAATTAGCTACACTTAATTTTGCACCACAAATATTTGAAAGGCAATAAAAAAATAACTAAAAAATAATTGTCAAATAAAATTATAATTTTTATCTTAAAAAACAAAGCAGATAGAAAGCGGTCTCAAACAGTTTTTAATTTCTATTAATTGAGTATTAAATTGGCTGTTGAGGACAGCTTATTTATTTGGTAATAAATTGGTGTTGATGAAAATAATGAGGGGGAAACTTTGTGCGATGATGGGATACAAAATATATTATGTTAAATATTAAAATTTTATATTTTTATTAAAATTGATGTTATATATTACCTTCGAAAGTTTACTGATTTTAATTTAAATTTCAATATTTATTTGATATATTTTATATCTGAATATTTTATCAAAATATTTTATTGTTATTCACTTAAATCATGAGCTATATGGAAGGGCAAAAGAAAGACTGTGCGGCCCAGTAATTTTGTTAGCAACTTAGAGCTTCTACACAACTCCCCTTGGCCTATTGGTTGAGAGCTTAGTCTTCCAACTAAAAGGTCCAAGGTTCGAGTACATGTGTATGTGTTGTGTGTGTGAGTTTGCCTTAAATGGCCTAAATGTCCCAAAAAAAAACTTAGAGCTTCTCCAGCCGAACTGCAGTCGCGTGTATGGAGTGGCTTTTTGCTCCAATGGATCGCCAAAAAATACGTCAATGGCATGCGGATGAACAGTCCGACGCCAATATTGGCGTCGGACTGTTCACCTACGCCAAAAAAATCGCTCTACTTTTTCGCTTCGAGGGAAAGGCGCGAAACAAGAGAGCGCGGGAAAGAACGGGAAAGAAGAGAAATGGAGTTCCATTGGAGATGAATTGCGGCATTTTGAAGTTTTCCTCCATTATAGAGTGAAAAATGGAGTTTTCGGTTGGAGATGCCCTCATGCTTCGTTCCGGAAGGCTTTTTTTACTTTTTCTTAAAACGGTTAACAAATTTTAATTTTTTTACTAAAAAATTATTTTAAGCAGTAAAAAAACTGTTTAAAACTAAACCTTAAAGTTAATTTTGATTTAAGTGAGGGGGATTCATTCCAAACTAGTAATTTAAAAAGAGAAAAAAAAAACTAAGTGATATTTTAATGGGTTGTTTGTTTTGCAGAAAAAAAGAATTCATAGTAATGCATTGCCTAATGAAAGCAATATATTTGAAATGTTTGAAATAATATAGATGAGTGCAAAATCAATATTGTGATTATATTTTTTTATTTAGTTTGAAGAAAAATAAATCTTGTATAAAGCATAAAGATGATGATAATTGATAGTCTAACAAAATCATCTTGCGGAATATTTAGAATTGGCAAAGCATGGCCGAGTTTGGAATACCTCAAAAATAAATTATAGAGTTAATTCATAATTGATCAAAATTTTACGTTGCCTTTTCTTTTTTGCAACAAAGAAAAATACCAAAATTTTTATAAACTTTGCATTTTTTATAATTTTAGGGGTTGTTTATTGTTTAAAAAAATTAAAAGAAATGCATTGTAAAATGAATATTTTGGAATTGTTTGAATATTATCAAAGTAGCGAATGATATTATTATTATTTTTGTTTGGTTTGAAGTAAAGTAAATGTAATGTAAAATACAAAAACGTTGTGGTCGTGGTGATCAGCAGGTGGCAACTGAGGGTGGCTCACAAGCCATGGCAATGACAGTGAGTTTGCAATGTATTTGAAAATCGTCGAAATCGTAGGAATTTCAAATACATCAGAAAATGAACTAGTTGATGTGTTCCAAATGCACTGAAATTTTACTTTGCATTCCCTTTAGTTCAAATCAAACACAAATATTTTCAAAACTCATCCATTTTGAATACTTTACACCTTTTTGAGGCAAATCAAACGACCCTTTAATCACCCTTCATAAAACAGATTGGCCCTTGATTCAATTCAAGATTTAGCATGTGATTTATCATTTTAGATCTATAAATAAAGGATGAAGGGGAACATTTTTTATCTTTTAAGTATCTTTTGACATTTATACTACAAATATTTGAGTTGGTGAATTACTTACTATAGAATTTTTCCCTCTTTCTTTCCATTTCCAATTCCATTAAAAAAATAATCATATAATTTCTACATTGCCTCTTTCTCCCTCTTAGTTGAGCTAAAATTCAAGCTGCAAGATGAGTCAAACTATGCTAATATCATTTAATTAATCCTCTCTCTAAATATTTGAATTAG